AATCTTACAAATCTTTATAATTTTTTTTATTATTTTATGTATTTTTTTAATTAAATTAAATTTTCTGAAAAATAGCCGCTAAGCGATACAGTTAGTATTTCAGGTGAAACTATTTTTCAAAATCTGATACGTTCAGCCTGGCTATGATCTGAAACCTATTCGAAGCCTACGAACTCTAATTTGAATATATTTTTGCAAATAAATTCAGCGAAATTGGTTTCGCCCAAAACATTTAGGTATGGCATAGAAACTAGAATATGAAATTATCCACAAATATAAGCTATTCAATGGGAAATACTAATTTTAATATTAAATTTCACCATCCTTTAGTGGATAAAAACATTATATATAGACCTTAATATCTCCTTGAATAGGATCAAGGAAAAAAATTAATAAATTTAACAATACTTTAATCATAATACTTACATAAAATCACAAATAGTTAATTACAAGTGCCTATTTTGTAAGCGTATATTTAGTAGTCGTTCAGGGTATAGCCAGCATGTTAATATTTGCGATCAATCTATCAGTGATAAAAGTGATGATTCTATTATAGATATTAATGATGTTTTATTAGAAAGTGAAGATATTTTTAATTTTATTGAAGTACGTTTTTTAACAAAATATTGTAATATAATTTTTTTAAATATTTTAAATATAAACATATATATCATTTATTTTAGATGAATGATGAAAGTTTATATGAAGATCTCCTCCGCCTATTGAAGAATTACTTTTAAGTGACGATTATAGCAGTAATTTTAAAAATATTATATTTGAAGATTCAATAATAAATCAAGATATTTTAGAACCTGAATCTAATGTGAATGTAAATTATCCTAATGAAGCATACAAAGATTTTATGACATTAGTAATTAAAAATAAATTAAGTAATAATACAGGAAATGAAATAATCTATTTTTTTAATAAATATGCAAATCTTGTTACATCTTCACTACTTAAATCAACAAAACAAGGATGATGATTTATGGATAATATGAATCAACCAAATTTAGATTACCGAAAGCATAATAATCTATAATAATATAGAATATTATCTTTATCATCTAAATCTTATAAATTGCATAAATAATATTTTGACAATTCCTGATATAATGCAAAATTTTGCGTTAAATTTTGAAAATCTTGAGGTAATTATTTAAATTTATGTAATTTAATATTTACATTTAATCACATTAATATCAATAATCATATTTAAATAAATTAAAGATTGATGGAGAAAAAATATATAGTGAACAAAATATTGGCATGTGGTGGAAGAATACTGAAGAATGTTTACTAATTAACGCAAACTTTTATTCTTGATATTACTGTATATTCTGATGCAACTAATGTTGATACATTGGGAAAAAGTCAACTACATCCTATATATATAATTATTGGCAATATTAAAAATTAGCAGCGTAACAAATCTGATGCAAAACAATTGTTAGGATATTTACCAATTTTATCACCAAGTGATAATTCTGATAAAAAATCTATCAAATTTAAAAGAGCAGTACGAGAAGCTTTCCATAATTCCCTAAAAGTACTTTTATATCCCCTCTTAAAATCCAATAATGGTATTGATTTGATAATATCTGATAAAACATTTTGGTTCTTTCCCCAAGTTTCAGTTGTAATTTCTGATTAGCCTGAAGCTTCGATGTTTTGTCTAACGTATAAAGCATATAATTCAAGTCATCCATGTCATTTTTGTTTAGTCTCAAAAGATAATTTTAATAAAATCAATTTATAAGATAATGATACTGAACTACATACCCATGAAAATATGATTGAGCATTTTGAACAGGACACAAACCATTTCATGTCAATTGAAATATTTCCAATTTTTTTTTGGAATTTTCCGTAAGTTTACAAAATTTTATTATTTTATTTTATATTTAATTTTTGTTTAATACTAATAATAAATAATGATCAAATCATAGAAATATAAATATCTATTCTGCCACGATACCCGATAGAATGCATTATCTTGATTTGGGTTTATTTCAATATCAAGTTAATTATACATGAGAACTTTTAAAGTTGCAACATGGTAATTATTTAGTAGATGAAATAGATTGTAAATTAGTGGAAATACCAAGATTTACAAATTTAAAAAATTTTAAAACTGGATTACAATCAATTGCAAGATTAACGACAAACAAATATCGTAATCTAATGAAAGTAATGATTTTTGTAATTGATAATTTATATAAAAAAAAATACCAAAAAAGTGAAAAACTTTATTACAAATAAAGATTTGGTAAAACTTTATGAATTGTGGAATAATATGTATAAAATGAGTAGATATGAAATTTTTAAGCAAAGCTATTTGAACAATTTCGAGGTATGTATAAAACCTTGACAAGTTCTATATTTTGTATTGTAATTTAATTAAGTTAGTGCATTTTAGGAATCTATATATAAATGGTCAAAAAATTTCATCTGAATTTTTCAACAATTTTCTCCATCTGAGCTAAACTTCTAAAACTACACTCATTGATTTATCATGTGATCGATTCAATATGAAATTTTGGCGCAATTAATGAATATACTACAAAGACTTACAAAAGTCTTCATCATGAATATGTTAAGGTTCCTTATCGATTAAGTAATAAAAAAATATTGAAATCCAATTAATGCAAATAGTAAGTATTTAATATATAGAATATACAATATTATGTAGTTTTTTCTAAGAGATTATATTTTATTAGATTCAACGCCAATCAATTGCCAAAATAACCTCGTAAAATCAATCAACAAATTTGAAAATAACTCCTCGTGCATTTAAATTTTCATCAAAGCTCTTTGAATTTTCGTTAATA